ATAACTATGTTTCCTGAGTACCCACATACACTTGGGCACAGACAGCTCCCTCCCTCCAATAGAATGACAACTTTTGTGGATCTTTTCTCTCCTTCCATTACATGGGTCCAGGCAACCAAACTTAGGTTGTCAAGGTTTGCAGTAGGCACCTTGCCCCCTGTCTATTTGCCAGCCTCTATTTCCTACTTCTAATGGCCCTTTAGCAAGGCCAGAGCACAAACAGTACTTAATTTTTACTTAAGTTGGCCAAAAATTACTCTAGGAAATTACTTTAGGGAAATTTACTTTTCTCCCAGTTTATTAAAATATAAATGTGAATTAACTATACACTCTTTATAATGGGTGAGAAGAAAATAATTGTTAAATGTTCCAATATATTCCTGTTCACTAAGAACTCTGTCAAGGGGTGAAAGACACAGAAAAAGGGGAGGAAAAACTAATGTATAAAACCCAACAGTAGAGCTGGTCATGTTCCTGTATTCCCCAAAAGAAAAAGGACATTAGCTAGGTGGTGGTGTCCCATGCCTTTAATCCCTAGCACTCAGGAGGCAGAGGCAGGTGGCTCTCTGTGAGTTTGAGGCTAGCCTGGTTCACATAGTGAATTCTAGGACACCTAGTGTTACACAGAGAAATCCTGCCTCGAACCCCCCCCCCTAGAAAAACAAAATCGCAAAAACAGAATAACTTACTTCTGTAGTTTCCCTTAAAACCTAAAGCTGGCTTTCTCTTAACCTCTAAGCCATCTCTCCAGCCCAGGCTGGCTTTCTCTTTTTCTTTTTTCCTTCCTTCCTGTGTGTATATATTTATGTGTGCTTGCATGTATGGAGGCTTGACCTTTTTCCTCAGATGGACAGAATCACTCTCCTGAACCTAGAGCTCACTTGTTCTGTTGGTCTAGCCAGTTAAGTCCAGCGATCTTGTTGGAATTACAGGTATGCTGCTATTGATACCAATGCAGGGATCTGAACTGTGAACCTCACACTTCTGCAACAATTGCTTTATCTACTGGCCCACATCCTTAAACTAGTGCTTTATATATTCAGGTAATCATTCTACCACTGAGTGACTACGTGAAAACAGCTGATTACACATGACCCGCTGGGGCTGGAGAGACGGTTTAGCAGTTAAAAGCACTGGCTGCTCTTCCAGAGAACCAAGTACCCACATGGAGATGCACAACTGTCTGTAATCTAAACCCAGGGGAAACCAATCCCATTTTCTGGCCTCAGTAAACCCACACATGGTGTACACACAGGCAAAACATACATGCACATACATACATACATACATATACATGTATGTATATGTACGTATGTATATGTAAAGACACTCCTTAAGCTGGCTTACACCTCCAGGGGAGCTGACGCCCTCTTCTGGCTCCCCAAGCACCAAGCACACAAGCGGTGCACAGACAATACATGCAGCACCCTCCAACAAAAAAATGTGCTGCTTAAATCTGTCAACTCAACAAAAGCCTGGATCACTTAGGAAGCAGTGTTCCCCCATGGCCTCTGCTTCACTTCCAGCTTCCAGGTTCCTGCTCTGACTTCCATCTACAATGGACTATACACTGTAAGCTGAAATCTTTTCTGCCCAAGTTGCTGTTCACAGTGTTTTATATAGCAATATAAAGCAAACTACGTGTTTGAGGGGGCCGAGAGGTCAGTGGTTAAGAGCACTGGTTGCTCTTCCAGAGGACATGGGTTCAATTCTCAGCAACCACATGGCAGTTTACAACTATCTGTAATTTCAGTTACACAGGCTCCAACACCCTCACACAGACATATATACAGGCAAAACACTAATGCACATGAAATTAAAAAAAAAAAAAAGTGAGGGGGGTTCCTTCAATTATGTAATAGGCACATAATAGCTAAAATTTTGGAACTGTTCCAACAAACACATTTCGGAGAGGGCAGCATTTTATTATGTAATTCAGAGTAGCCTCCAACTTGTACCTATGCCCTGAGTGCTGGATTAGGCCTGTAACACTGTGCAGGTTTTTTTCTTTTTTCTTTTTCTTAGTGTCATAGGCTAGCCTTGAACTCCTGATCTTCCTGTTCTGCCTCCTAGGAGCTGGGATTACAGGTGTGTAGCACCACACATCCTCTCAACACACATGGTTTAACAACCACCAAGAACAGATAGAAATGACTCCTTAACTATTTTTGAACCTGGTTATAATAAGGTCCTAATACCATAGGCTGGAGATGGCTCAGCAGTTTAGAGCACTGGCTGCTCTTTCAGAGGACCAGAGATCGATCCAACACTTGTATGGCAGCTCACAACAGCAGCTAACTCCAGTTCCAAGGAGTTCCAGCTCTCTTTTGACCTTTGCAGGCACTGCATGCACATGATACAGGCATACAATCAGGCAAAAGACTCCAACACATTTTAGAAAAAGTTCCAATCCCAAACTTCTAGGTGTCTCCCATGGATTTGTTCAGCACTCTTCAGATACAGGTCTCTTATTTCCCTCTACACTACTGGAACCTCATTCTTAAGTCACTAATAAAATACACATGCAACTTCTACTATACACAAAACAGAGATGTAGCGCAGAGTCACTGGCTACTTGTCACGTACAAGGTTTAATTTCTAGCACCTCAAACAAAACAACTCGCAACTGCTATGTTTACAGAGAGAAGCCTAGTATAACTGTTTTCTGAGAGGCTTGATCCAGCAGCTGATGGAAACAGATGCAGAGACCCACAGCCAGACAAGGCAAACTCAGGGAGTTTTGTGAAGAGTGGGAAGGATTGAGGGATCCGGAGAAGACAAGGACACCACAAGACCATACTATAAACTAATCTGGGCCCATGGGAGCTCAGAGCCTGAATCTCCAACCAAAGAGCTTGCATATGATGGACACAGACACATTAAGTAACAAATGCACAGTGTGGTCATCATGTGGGTCTTCTAACAATTGGGAGTAAGGGCTAGCTCTGACTCTGTTGTCTGCCTTTGGATCCCTTCCCCCTAGCTAGGCTGCCCTGTCTGGCCTCAGTGGGAGAAGATAAGCTTGGTCCTGCTGTGACTTGAGTGGCCAGAGGGGGGTGGCACCTCTCTGGGGGCAAACCCCTTCTCTGAGAAGGAGAGGAGAAAATGGGGGGGAGGGGAGGAGGCATGAGGGGAGAACTGGAATCAGGCTTTTAAGGCAATAAAACAAGAAAAAACAAAACAAACAAACAAAAAAACCCACTCCAAGTTTCCATTACTTGTTGAGCCCAATCACTCTCATAACTGAAATTCTGTTATCTTTACTGAGTTTCGAAAGACTCTAGTACAGTTTTGCCAAGTTTACATTAATAATAACCTACACTCACTTTTACCTTTGTGTTGCCACTTCCTTCTAATAGCTAGTCCTGGAATGTCAAGTTGACAGACGCTTCCTTTGGTTAGAATTTCACTCTACAGACCAAGACCCCTCACTCTTTTGTTGGAAGCTCAAAGTCGCTGCCAGTATGTGCTCAACTACTGTATATTACAAGCCCCTAGGCCTCCCTTCAGGTGTTACCTACGTAGCTAAAAGCCCCTCGGACATTACTGCCAAACGAAAACACCTGCTCCTTTAAACAGGCAATGTATTCGTTAAAGGCCAGTCCCAGATTTATCTTGCTATCATAAATGACTCGAGAATTCATGTTTCCTTGAGTAAACTGGAAACAGAACACGTTCTGGGAGGTGTCAACTTTTATATTATTCGGCCAACTCCAGTTAAAAGGTGGCTGGCTTATCGACTCGGTGCTGAGGAAGAACCAAAAAAACAAAAACACATGTTTTCTCTTGCAGGGTAAATTACAAGACGATCTTCTCTTTTCTACCTTACTTTTTGGTCGAGGGAAAAAAAAAAAAATGACTCCTAGGCTCTGATTATATGACCCCCTCTGAGTGACTGGCGGCGAAACACGGAAAAACAATTAAAGAGATGAGCTCCCCAAGGAATATTCAAGAGCTTCGTCTCACCTGGTTACATCTGGAAGCCACTGGGCGGTTAGGCTGGGCCACTCCAGGGCATGGGTCATCACCAAATCGTACAGAAACGGGGTGTTCTTCTTCCATATTTTGTACTCCTCGTTGATCACGCGTTCTTCCACCGCGTCGTCAAAGGCCGCTAAAATGTCCAAAACAAAACAAAACAAATGAAGTTAGCGAAGAGAAACGGAGGGTGAGCCAACCTCTCCCAAGCCGCCGCTGCCCTCCGCCGCCGCGGGCCGGAAGTCCACCCCGGCCCGATGCTCCGTTACTCGGCTCGGAGCGCGCCAAGTCCACGAAACCCGGGAGGAGGCCTGCGCGTCGGGCCTGGGCGGGTGGAAAGCGGCGTCCCGAGGTCCCGCCAGGCGGAGACACCGGCGGGAGCGTCACCCGCGCCCGGGCCCGAGAGCCGGCCGTCGCCCCGCATCCGCTCCCGAGCAGCCGGCGCGCCGTTAGCCCGCCCCACGGGGCGCTCCCTCCTCACCGCCGGAGTTGCCGGGACTTGGCTCGCCACAGTCGGGCCTGCTCCCCGCCTCGGGCCTCCTAACAGGCCCCGACACCCAGCGCCCTCCCGAGCCGGCCTCGCCACACTCACCTTCCTTGTCAGCCATGGCGGCAGGCAAGCCGGGAGGGGTTGGGGGAACCCGGGGTCGTGCGTTGCAGGAGGGGCGGGGAGGCGACGGGCGCTCGCTCCGCGCGCGGCCTCTATTGTTTCCTGCGGCCCGTGCGTGGGGGGCCGGCTCGCGTGCCTTCGCGCCAACACCGGCCAATGGGGACGCGCGGGTCGCCGGGGTGGGCGGAGCCCCCGCGGCCTCGGCCAATGAGGACGCGCACAGCCGCTTTTCGCGCGGGGCCTGGGGCGCGCGCTCCGCCCCTCCGCCCCCCCCCCCGCCCCCAGCTTACTTCCCGCGATCCCCCCCGCCCCCCCCCCCCCGGGGCCGGGCCCCCCCGGCCCCGCGACGGGCCTCCCCCCCCCCCCCCCCCCCCCCCCCCCCCCCCCCATCACACGCTCCTGCGCAGCCATTTTCTCAAGAGTGCCGTTATGCTAACGACGAAAGAAATCCCAAGCGTTTCCGGGTCTACTTAGCAACAGCGAGGACCACACCAGGGGGGAAGGAAAAAAAAAAATCATCGTCTAGACTTTCGGGTGTCTAACTCAAGGCGTCTCAACTTGCTCCCTTGAGTTTTTAATAAATGCAGACAGCAGGGCGCCGGACTTTAAGACACGCTGTGAAAGCGGCAGGACCTAGCCTGGAAGGCTCGAGCGGCAGTATCCTTCCGCGAGCTCCGAGAACGGAGTCCTGGTCCTTTTAGACTGGCTGCCAAGGGGTGGGGCGTAGGCCGGAAGTTGCTACGGCGCGGGGCGGAAGTTACGGCGCGGGGCCGAAGTCTGGCCGGCGACGGGCGGAAGTAGAGCGCCCAGGTCTGCAGCCATGGCTCAAGAAGAGGAAGATGTTAGAGATTACAATTTGACGGAGGAACAGAAGGCGATCAAGGACAAGTACCCTCCAGTCAATCGAAAGTATGAATGTGAGTAGGTGGCTCACGTCTCCTGCAGAGGGGCGGCCTCGGCTGCTCACCTGCCGCCTCCTGCCGCGCCCGTTTCTTTGCCCCACGGGTGCTCCCGGCATCTTCTCAGTGTGCCCCGTATTGTACCTCGTTTAGGAGGAAAGTGAAGGAAATGATCTCCTTATTCGAGAATGAAGAAACCTGAGGCGCTTCCCCCTCTTGACATTCTCCTAAACGTCTACGCGTGCCTCAATCACGTTTATCTTGGTGTAGCGCTTGCCCTGCGTTTATCTTTGCAAGTTATGCTTGTGCGCTGGTTGTATCTTCAGGAGTTTTCTGAGTTGTCGTCCTCGAGTTTCTCCCAATAGTGGAATAGGGTGACCACGTTGGAGGACTGAAAAATTAGTCGAGAGATATCTTTGTGTGTGTTCACAGCCCAGTGATTTTCTTCTATACTGCAACTTACTGGATATATTGCAATACATTAAAACTTTTTTAAAAAATAAACCTGGCCAGGCACGGTGGCACATGCTTGCAATCCCAGCAGTTTGGGAGGCAGAGGCAGGCAGATCGCTTTGAGTTTGAGGCCAGCCTGTTCTACAAAATAAGTCCAGGACGGCCAAGGCTATAAGAGAAACCCTGTGTCGAAACAAACCAAAAAGAGAAAAAGCCTAAAGTTTTGACAATATAGTTTTTCATAAAGCTGTACTTTATGTTAATTAAATTAAGGTTATTGTTATTTTTAAATGAGTGTTTTGAGGTTTTTTCTTTCCTTGAAAGTTCTGTGTCAGCCTTCGAACCTTTAATCAATCACAGCACTCAGGAGGCAAAGGAAGATCTTGTGAATTTAAGGCCAGTCTGGTCTACATGAGTTCCAGGACAGTCAGGAAGATCTCAGAAACAAACAAACAAAAACACCTCCTGTGCCTTTAATGGACATGCTGGATCTGTGATCTTCCCCTAAGCTACAGCCCCAGCCCTACTATAACCTTTGAGTATAGGGTTCCTGAGATTAAAAAAAAAAAAAAAAATTGGAGAACTACCCTGTATATCAACGTGTCATCTTTTAAGATTTTAAAAAAGAATTGAGTATAATTTACGTATACCAGAGTAAAGTGTTAAGTATTTTTAAATTAAATTATGTTTTTATTTGTGACATGGTTCCTCTCTCAACTATCACTGGCTTGCACCTCACCAGGTGGACCAAACTTAGAATGGTTCTGGTGTCTCCGCTTCCCTGGAACTAGAATCACAGACTTGAGGCACCACCCCTGCCCAGGTTATTATGAGGGCTGTGTAAGCAGCCCTAGTTTCGAGATCCAACAGTCTGTCATCTTAGAAAGGTCCCTCAGTGTTTCCAGTCTTTTATCCTTGAAGCCAACATTGTTAATATTTTGTATTTTAGGAGTGTCGTTTTCTGTGTTAAGAGGCTCACATGAATGGGCTCATGTTGTTTTTCCATCTGGCTCCTTCTCCCCCATCAAAGATAACACAGTCAGAAGACACGGGTGGTAAAAGAGCTGAGCTCACTCCAGTTCACACAGATTGTTTTACAGGGAGATTGAGGGAGGACAGAGCAAGGCCTCCTAAAGTCAGAGAAGTGAAAAAGTACAAACGATTAGTCATAATTGCTGTAGATGGAACAAGGTCAAGGCCAGTTCTGCCTGTTCCCGACAGTTTTTGGAAGCTTGAGTCCGAGCCTCCAAAGACAGGAGACAAGAGGCCTGGGTTGTGGGGATGATAACATTTCAAAGAACCAGGTCCTTGAGGAAGATTGTTCAGAGATGGAAGGGATACATATTCACATTTTTAAGACTTTTTTGGTACTTGCTGTAAAATAGGGAGATTAAGAGCCTCCTGTAAGTGTTGGCTAGAACAAAGAGGGAATTTTCCAAGCTTTATTGGGCTTTTCTCAGGCGAGCATTTTTAACTAAGACTTCTGCTCTATCTTGGGGATGGAGCCTTATACTACTAGCCATGCTAGAATTTTGTCAAATGCAGGTGTTCTGCTAGACTGAGTTCTGCAGTTCCCAACAGTATTTTGAGATTTGTGTAAATCATTTTATCAGTTATGGCTGTTTATTTATTTAATTCATTGTAGCAGGGATTGTATTCAGATTAAGCACTCCACCACTGACCTCCATCCCTAACCCCGACTCCTCTTAAAATTAGTTTCCTTTGGGTCCGTGTTCTTCTGAAACATGGCTTCTTTGTACTTCAGTACTTGAACTCAATATATATGCCAGTCGGGACTGCAGAGTTAGACTCTATCTCAAAGCAGGGAAGACTATGTAATAGACAAAGGACAGACTGAAAAGGAGGCAAGAACCGTCCTGGTGAGGCGTGCGGCAGGTTGCTGTGGTCTGGCCTTTCCTATGGGAATACTCGCTGTATATCCTGTGGAATTGGCCTTCCCAAACTATTTTCTACTCAAATTGGACTAGCTAGTCAGGAAAAGTTACTGATACCAGGAAATATTTGCTGAGAGACTAATATGTAAAGCACCTGAAGTTTGCTGGATAGCCTTGAACTGGGCTCAAGTGATCCTCCAGCTTCAAGCTCCCAGTAGCTGGGACTGCAGGAACCCATTGCTGTGAACAACTTAGACAACATTTTAGGAGGCCTAGAAGAAGCTGGGCCTGTATTACGTGCTGTGCATGCTTGTAATCCCAGCCATCATTTGGTGCTAGAAACCAAGTCCATATCCTCTACAAGAGCAAGTGCACCTAATCGAATTGTCTCTCCAGTATCATCTTTTTTGTTTGTGTTAACTTTACTTCATGTGTGTGACGTGTCAGTGTGGATGTGCATGTTCTGAGTGAGCACACATGTGAATAGAAGTCAGGACAGCCTGAGTCTCAGTCCTTCCTTCTCTGCCTTCTTTGAGACAAGGTCTCCTGGCCACTGGTAAGCCAGGCTAGCTGGCCCAGGAACATCTAGACCAGTGGTCCCCAACCTTCCTTATGCTGCAACCCTTTAATACAGCTGTGGTGGTGACCTCAACCAGAAATTATTTTTTTAACGTTTATTTATTTAAGTATTTTATGTATATAAGTGCTCTGTCTTCATGTACAGCTACACGCCAGAAGAGAGCATCAGATCTTATTACAGATGGTTGTGAGCCACCATGTGGTTGCTGGGAATTGAACTCGTGACCTCTGGAAGAGCAGACATTGCTCTTAACCTCTGAGCCATCTCTCCAGCCCTCAACCAGAAATTATTTTTGTTCCTACTTCATAACTGTAATTTTGCTGCTGTTATGAATCATGATGTAGATTTCTGTGGTTTCCTGTGGTTGTAGGTGACCCACAGGAAAGCTACCACTGTAGAGATTCTTGTTTCCGCTCTCTGTTTCCTGTAAGCATGCTAAGATAGCCTGGGTGCGGTGGTGCACACCTGTAATCACAGCACCTGGGGAGGCAGAGGCAGGCAGATCGCTGTAGATTCTAGGTCTTCAAAGCGAGTCCAGGACAGTCTAGGCTACACAGAGAAACCTTGTATTCAAAACAAAACAAAACAAAACAAAAGCTAGGATAGCAGATGCTTGCGCTGCTGTGTCTGACTTTATGGACTCTGCAGATCAGGACTCTTGTCATATTGCCTTGCACAGCATGCACTTTTACCTACTAAACCACGTGCGCGTGTGGACGTGTGTGTGTGTGTGTGTGTGTGTGTGTGTGTGTGTGTGTGTGTGTGTCTGTCTGTCTGTCTGTCTGTCTGTCTCGGAAAGAAGAAAGCATGTATGTATGTGTGCTGATGGTGTAAGTATGGCAGTCAAAGGACAATTTTCAGAGTCCGTTTTCTTCTTCCGCTATGTGGCCCAGTACAGCAAGTGCTTTTAGCCACTGAGCCATCCCCTTGCTCAGTGGGGTGGGGGTGTTGCTGGCAGGCGTGGTGCCACACTCCGCTCCTTTAATTCCAGCACTGGGGAGGCAGAGACAGGTGGATCTCTGTGAGTTCAAAGCCAGTCTAGTCTACAGAGAGAGGTCCAGGACATCCAGAGCTACACAGAAAAGTCCTGACTATAGAACAAACAAATGAGTGGCATTCCCTAGTAGACTGGGCTGAGCTGGAACTTGTGATCTGCTGGCCTTCGCCTCTTAAGTACTAGGACTACAGGTGTGAACCTGATATCCAGCTGGGATGATGTTCTGAGTGAGTAGCAGTGAACTGGACTTCTTTTCACTGCTGTTTCTGCCTGCTGCCTGTCTATGGTTTGAGAATCAAGTTCAATGACTTACCCATTCTTTCCTTTTCTCCCTCAGATTTGGATCATACAGCTGATGTCCAGTAAGTACAGCAAGAGTTGTTCCTTGAAACTGTCTTTACCTAGGATGAATGTTTTAATTTTTTAATAAAAGAATTTAACTACATTGATTGTAAAAAGATTTCTCCTATTGTTTTATGTGTGTGGATATTTTGCCTGCATGTATGTAGGTGTGTCATGTGTGTGCCTGCAGCCAGAGGAGGTCAGAAGAGGTTGTCGGATGGGGCTGGAGTTACAGATGGATGTGATTCACCATGTGGGTGCTGGGACTAGAACCTGGGTCCTCTGCAAAAGCAACAAGTGCACCTGACACTAAACCATCTCTCTATCCTCTTATCTTTTCTTTTTTGAGATAGGGTCTTACTGTGTAACCCTTGCTGGCCTGGAATTTGTCATCTAGAGTAGGCTGGCAGCATCAAACTCCGAGAGATCTACCTTCCTCTGCCTCCTCGGTGTTGGGACTAAAGGTGTGATTACATTAGATAATTACATTTTATTTTGGTGTGTATGTGTAAGACATATGTGCCATTATGTATGTGTGGAGGTCAGGAAACAAACTGGGGGAGTCGGTTCTTTCCTTCTACCAGTGTCAGGCTTGGCACCAAGTATCTTTACCCACTGACCCAAGTTGCTGGCCCAGGTGTATTTCTGTTTTTCTCCTTTTTTTTTTTTTTTTTTTTTTTTTTTTTTTTTATGTGAAAAGATGGTTTAAAAGCATCCTATTTGGGTGCCTTTAAATTAGACAGTTTTATATATATCAAACTGATTTTCTTTTAGCTTTGTTGTAGAATTTTTGCCTATAGTAGATTATACTGTATACACACTATTATCTCTTTATTTGTTTTAATTTTAACTTTTTACCTTGAGGTTACACGCATGGGGAGATACTCTGGAGGAAGCATTTGAGCAGTGTGCCATGGCCATGTTTGGTTACATGACAGATACTGGGACTGTGGAACCCCTCCAAACAGTGGAAGTAGAAACTCAAGGTAACTGATATATTTTCAAGGAAAAATCACTGTGTGGGTACACATTGTTCTGGGTGATCTGAGTATCTTGTCGCAGAACAACAGGAGGGATTGTGCATCTTAAGTGAGCTGAAGAACTTCATTGTGCTTTAGCCAAGCCTCTAGAGAGCAGAGTCACTAAGCATCATCTCGTCCTGGTCCCCTTTGACTCTGTGCAGGAGATGACTTGCAGTCTCTGCTGTTTCACTTTTTGGATGAGTGGCTTTACAAGTTCAGTGCTGACGAATACTTCATACCCCGGGTAAGCACAGGGTTCTCTCTTTTTTTCTGAGCAAGTGGGCTGTTGGTTCGTACTTTAAAATTGAACAAATGGCTGAATCATAAGGTATATGATTGAAAACCAGTACATATAGATAAGTAGGTAGTGTTGATTGGTATAAATTATAGGGTTGTTTAAAGGATGTTTTGTTTATGTTTAGCTTATGTACATATGTTTATGTTGCCTGCAGGCATACCCGTGTACCACATGCATGCAGTGCCAATGGAGGCCAGAAGAGGGCATGATAGCCCCTGGTACCATAGTCACAAACAGTTGTGACCTACTAGACGTGCCAGGAATCAAACCTGGGTCCTCCGGAAGAGTAGCCAGTACTCTTTTTTTTTTTTTTTTTTTTTTATAATTTATTCACTTATTATTTATATAGTATTCTGCCTGCATGTATGCGTACACACCAGAAGAGGGCCTTAGATCTTATTACAGATGGTTTTGAGCCACCATATGGTTGCTAGGACTTGAACTCAGGGTCTTTAGAAGAGCAGCCAGTGCTCTTAACCTCTGAGCCATTTCTCCATCTCTATGTAGGTCCTTTTGATTAACCTGTTTGCCTAGGTATATTCATTTTTTACAAAAAGATTCATTATTTATTATGCATACAGTGTTCTGCCTGCATGTATACCTACATGCCGGAAGAGGGCACCAGATCCCATGTTAGATGGTTGTGAGCCACCATGTGGTTGCTGGGAACTGAACTCAGGAGCTTTGGAAGAGCAGCCAGGGCTCTTAACCTCTGAGCCACCTCTCCAGCCCTATTCGTTTTTATTTTTTTAACTTGGATCTCTGACCACATAGTATTTGCTATCAGAACTGTGTAAGATCATCTCTGAGGGCTGGGGAGACCATCTACCAAGCCAGCACGACGGAACGTGGCATTCATCTGTTCTTCTGCACTTACCATGTTCATCAAAGCACTCAGGAGGCAGAGGCATGAGGAGCTCTGCGAGTTCTAGGCCAGCTTTGGTCTACACAGCCAGTTCTAGGTCAGTCAGGACTTCATATTGAGCCCAAGTCAGAAAAAAAAGACCTATGAAAAAAGTAGGGGGTGTTCGTCTGTGAGCTGTTTATGTCCCCACATGTTCCAGTTGTTGTCTTGGAATGTTAGTGCCTCTGTCACTTTGGCCTAAGTTCAATAATCGATGATTTTAGTCTTCTCAATGCAAAAAAAAAGGAAAGCCAAATGCAGTTGCTGCTGCCGCCAGCCGCTTGGACACTTCTGCAGCATCTGACCACCGCTCCCCAAAGTCCTCCAGTCTCCTTTATCAGCTCCAGTCCATGTATTCCATTAAGTCACTCATCCTACAGACTTGAAGTGGGCACTATTGTGCTACAGATGGGTTGACATTGATTAAATATATATTTACATATCCTTTTTTGTTTTTCAAGACAGGGTTTCTCTGTGTAGCCCTGGCTGTGCCACACACACTCACTCTATAGACCAGGCTGACCTGGAATTCAGAGATTCCACTGCCTCTGCCTCCTGAGTGATGAGATCAAAGGCATGAACCACCACCGCCTGGCTGCTGCTGCTGCTGCTGCTGCTGCTGCTGCTGCTTCCTCCTCCACCCCCTCTTCTTTCTCTTCTTTTTTTGAAAGTAATGATATTCTATGCTGTGGTTGTACCTCAGTTGTAAGAATGCTTACTTAGCATTCTGAAGACCCTGGTTTCAATCCCTGTCACTCCATAAAAGCAAACATGGCGGCATATGCTTCTGATCCCACCACTGCAAAGATGAAGGCAGAAGGGTCAGAAATGCATGCTTATCCTTGGCTATGTTTTGAGGATAATATGAGTTATGTAAGACCTTGTCTCAAAAATATTTTAAAATAAGAAAAAAAAAATAATGTCTTTTTCCTCTTTAGGAAGTGAAAGTACTCAATATTGATCAAAAAAATTTCAAGCTACGATCAATTGGGTAAGTTTTGAAACTAGTTAAGTAACAAGTCATGAAAGATTAAAATGTATTCTTCATTGAATCCAGTGGCCAAAACGACAAATATAACTGGTGAGTCAGAGGATCTTTGTGCTTGGCTAGACTTCGCAGGTTAAGCTGTTGAAGACCCTAGGAGTGTGGGCTCACCTGAGCTTGGGCACTTCGGACTTGTGGAAGTAAAATTTCTTTCTGATCATTATGCTTGATTACCAATTTAAAAAAAAAAATATTTTAAGCCAGGTAGTGGTGGTACACACTTTTAATCCCAGCACTCAGGAGGCAGAGGCAGGTGGATCTCTGAGTTTTGATGCCTGGTCTACAGAGTGAGTTCCAGGACAACCAGGACTATACAGAGAAACCCTGTCTAGAAAAACAAACAAGCAAAAAAAAAAAAAAAAAAGTCTTTTCTATGTGGGTATTTTATTGGCCTGTATGTATGGCTATGCCCACGTGCATGCTAAGTGTTGCATAAGGTATCATATCTACTGTAACTGGAATTACAGACAGTTGTGAGCTGCCATGTGGGTGCTGAGAATTGAACCTGGGTTCCCTGGAAGAGCAACCACTGCTCTTAACCACTGAGCCATCTCTCCAGCCTTCAGTTATTTTTCTAATGAAAAATTTGTATTTATAATTAGCAGTTGGACTCAGTTTAGATGATCCCAGTTGTTTTATTGGTTTTTCAAGACAGGATTTCTCTGTGTAGCCCTGGCTCCCATAGCGCTGATCTCTCACTCTGTAAACCAGGCTGGCCTCAAACTCAGGGATTCACCTGCCTCTGCCTCCCAGTGCTGGGATTAAATGTGTGCCGCCATGCTCAGCTTGATCCCAGGTTTGCTAGCAACATGTAAAGCATTGTAACCTAGAGCCTGTGAGTCATTGCTGTCATCTCCATTAGACCTGTGCAGCTTATTCCCCAGCTCCTGCCATCTCTTCCTCGTTCTCCAGTTCCAGATGACATTTATAAGGTTTACTTTAAAATTTAGAGAATAAAATAAAAATAGAAAATTGTAGAAATAATAACCATGTTTTTCCTTTGCTTCTCAAGGTGGGGAGAAGAATTTTCATTGTCCAAGCACCCTCAGGTATGTTCAAAAGTCTAGCCATTGAAAGCATTTCATCCTTTATTACATCAAGTCTATATATGTGAAAGTAAACTTTAGATTTTTTGTTTGTTTGTTTGTTTTGGGGGGATGATTTTTTTTGAGACAGGGTTTCTCTATGTGGCCCTGGATGTCCTGGAACTCACTTTGTAGACCACACTGGCCTCAAGCTCACAGAGAGGTTCACCTGCCTCTGCCTCCCAAGCACTGAGATTAAAGGCATGAATGACCATGCCCAGCCTAAATTTTAGTTTTAATTAATCTGAAATGGCAGGTTTCTTCAAGCGACTCTTTCCTGGTAGATATGTTAAATATGTTAAAATACCAATTTCGTGCATCTGTTTGGTTATGAATCAGCTTTGGGCTCCAGGATCACGTTTGTTACATATTGTCTAGGGATTTTTTTATTTTGTTTTTTTGAGACAGGGTTTCTCTATGTAGCCCTGACTGTCCTTTGTAGACCAGGGCTACATAGAGATCTCACAGAGATCCATCTGCTTCTGCCACCCAGGGTGCTGGGATTACAGGTTGTCTAGGGATTTTAAATTCTGATTTTCTCTTTGTTTGGTTAAAGTTTTTGTTTGTTTTTGATACAGTATCTCACAGTATCCAGTCCACTGGCTGGACTGGAACTCACTTTGTAGACCAGGCTAGCCTTGAACTCACAGAGCTCCCCTTGTCTCTTTCTGTCTCTAGAAGACTGAAATTACAGGCAATGGGCCACCAGAGGCTTAGTTCTCTATGGTGAAGAAGCTGGGCTAGATGTTGTCTGTCTCTTCCCTGGGAACTGAATTAGGGCCCTGTGCGTGCTACACAGGTGCCTCACGGCTCACTGCATCTCCAGCCTCTCTTCACCTGGAAAGCCAGGTGTGGGGGTGCATGTCTTTAATCCCAGCACTCAGGAGGCACAGGCAGGTGGATCTCTGAGTTCGAAGCCAGTCTGATCTACAGAGTAAGTTCCAGGACAGCCAAGCTATACAGAGATCCTGTCTCAAACAAACAAACAAACAAACAAACAGATTCATTTGGAAATGACTACAGAGAAGGGAACAGATTGGTAACACAATCGTAACTGGGGTGACTGTGGTTAATAAAGGAGGATCTTACTTCGTTTGGCTTTAGCTAGGAGGTTTTATAACATGTTTAAATGCAAATAGAAATGAGGAAGTGGGGGCATACATTGATACACTGGACAGGAAAAGGACTTGGAACATTGGCCCAGAGTGGTGGTATATAATCAGTTCATAGGTATAGAGCAGGCCTGATAGGCCTGGACCAGGCCATCCATCAGAGTGCAGGACAGGTGGATATGAGCACAGACTAGGATGATAGATCAACTGTGTCAGTTCCTTTTTTTGTTTGTTTATTTCATTTTGTTTTTTGAGTTAGGGTTTCTCTGTGTAGCTCTCTGGCTGTCCTGGAACTTGTGCCATATGAGTTGCTTCTTATTGGTAGCTCTTATTTTCTCTAACAAGCATTGTTGATTGAGAGTGAGCATGGAGGAGAGATGACTGAGGAGAAAATGTAAATTGTCCTTGAGGGGAGAGAAGCTGCCTGTGCAGACAAGTGGTCAGTAAACCCCCGGGTGTGATGTGGACGCACATATAAGGCGATACCGTCAGAGACGCTGTGTGCTTCAGGTGGAAAGTAGAGTTTGACTTAGGAGACGATAGCAGAGAGGAAAAGACAAGTGACATCACTCATCTCCTGCAGCATCTCCACGTCTGTTGTACAGTAGAACTAGCAGGTGCCATTCACCTCTTCCCCTGGTACTTGTGGCGCTCAGAATTATTATAGATTCGTTTTAGAGTTGGAAGCTAAGGGTGGCTAATGCTTTTGTTCCAAACTGCAGCAGGGTGCGGGGCAAAATCGTGTATCAGAACCCTGGGAAAGCTCTGACCTGGGAAACTCCTCTCCAGCCAGACCTGCAAGAGAAGAATCCCAAAGAGAATAAGCTGAGGGCCAGGGCCAAGGTGGGAGTAAGGGAGTAGCAGGGCCTAGAGGCGCCCTGGGCCAGCCTAGCGAAGCTTGTTTGATCTCACCCAGCTTTGTTGTATTTTAAAGACTTTTATTCATTCATTCATTCATTCATTCATTCATTCATTCATTTAGCATTCTTCCTGCATGTGTGCCCACAGACCAGAAAAGGGCCCCAGATCTCATTATAGATAGTTATGAGCCACCATGTGGTTGCTGGGAATTGAACTCAGGACCTTTGGAAGAGCAGCCAGTACTCTTAACCTTTGAGCCATCTCTCCAGTGCTGATATAACTCGTTTTATAATTATGAAACAAACCCATGCCCAACCAGGTCAGATGGCTTCCCCAACCTGCTGGGCCCTGTGCCTACATTAGCACCAGCTCCTCCAAGTTCCATGTTCCTTCTGCTGTGCTCTCTGCTTTTCTTCTCTCACCACCCTATGCTACAGAACTGACCAATAACTATCAGTCTCATGTTTCATAATTACAGTCTGACTTTCTGCCAATTCCTGCTAGTGTGAAGGATTCTAATTCCGGTTTTTCTTTTTTCCTTTAACTCCAATTTCAGGGAACAGAAGTCAAAGCAATAACATACTCAGCAATGCAAGTCTATAATGAAGAGAAGCCAGAAGTTTTTGTGATCATCGACATTTAAGATACCAAGAAAAGGAAAAGAAAAGGACTCCTATGAAGAACCGATTTGTTTTCTTCATTTGGAGAAGATGCAGTGATTCATTTTCTGTGGTGTCTTTGCTAAGTGGAAATGGAACTGGGCATTTAAAGTGTGACTTTCAGAAGTGGAAAATGGACGTATATCCTTCGTTTGTGATTCCTTGCTGGTGATTCTTCCATCCCTGAGGGACAGTCGTGGTCAGTTGCAGCAATTGCAGCGGGTGCCTTACACCCTTCCAGTGGACACAGCTGCGCCCGCTTGGTCAGAAGGAGTACCCACTGCTGTGAGCAGCCGCTGGGACGGAATCTAACTTGCAACAAAAAGCTGGCCACGACAGACAGTAGAAGCCTGTGATCCCAATACTCAGGATCCCGAGTTTGTGGCCAGCTGTGGCTAAGGAATGAGTTCAGAGCTAGCCTAGGCAACTGAACATGGCCCTGTCTCAGAAAAGAAAAGTGTAGGGCAGGATGAACTTGCACAACATGCACGATGAGGTGTTTGAACTCACAGAGACCCGCCTGCCTCTGCCTCCCAAGTGCTGGGATTAAAGGCGTGCGCCACCACCGCCTGGCTTCTCTCTGTCTTTTTAAGAAGCAATGATATTTCATATTTTCGTAGAAAAAATATCTGACACTGTGCCTTACGTACGACTCTCTGGTGTAAACTTTTATTTCATTTATTACTAATTTTCAGTGTTGGGGACTAAGCCAAGTGCTCTACCACTGAGTTTATAGCCCAGCCCCTAAAGTGAAATTTTATTTCTTTTTTGAAGTTTTGTTTCGTTTTCAAGACAGGTTCTCCAGAGTCACAGAACTTATAGAAATAATCCCTTTAAATATATAAGAATTTAAATATATAAGAATTTAATAATAAGAATTTAAAAATGGGGATTTGAATGGAAAGTCCAAGAAACTAGTAGTTGCTCAGTCCCACGAGGCTGGGTGTTTCAGCTGGTCTTCTGTATAAGCTGGAATCTGGAAGAAGCAGGTCCCAATGGGTGTGCTAGGAAAGTGCCTGAAAGTAGGTGAAGAACAAACAACCCCTTCCTCCTTCCACTGTCCTTAGATAGGCCTCCAGCAGAAGGTATGGCCCAGATTACAGCTGTGCCTCAAAACCTGCACTAAAGGTGTGTGTCCATCTGGATCAAAATTGTGTGTCATCCCACCTCAAGATCCGGATCAAAGGTATTGTTATTTTCCAGCCTCAAGATCTGGGCACAGATCTCACAGAGCTGGGCACAGTAGCACACACCTCTAGTCCCAGCACTGGGAGGCAGATCGCTGTGAGTTCTTCGAGTTCAAGGACAGCCAAGGCTACACAGAGAAACCCTGTCTTGAAAAACCAAAAAGATCCAGATTACAGATGTGCCCTCAATTTCTGGATTGTAGTTCATTCCAGTCAAGTTGACAATTGAAAATAGCCATCACAACAGGGTTTCTCTGTGTAACAGTCCTGGTTGACCTTGAACTTGAAGAGATCCATCTGCCTTTGCCACCTGAGTGCTGGGACTAAAGTGCATGGGACTACCATGCCAGGCTGAAATTTTATTTCTTTATGTTTTTTATTTGTTTGTTTGTTTTTTTATATAAGGTCTCCCTATGTGGACCAGGTTGGCCTTGAACTCATAGTGCCTGCCTCTTCCTTTTGAGTACTGGGATTAAAGATGTGCCCCAAAAGAGTGTAATTTTATCAAAGCCAGTCTATGCATCCAGTTAGAGAAGAAAAAATTTTTTAACCTAGTTAAGGTTAAAGAGATGGCTTAGTGATCAATAGCTCTTGCTGAGGAAGAGCAGGCTCTGCACCTCACCTCAGCAGCACAGGAGAGCTGACTCTGATGGTGGGAGCATGTGTGAGCTGGCCCCCAGGAGCTAACAAAACTCTTCCGCCCCGTGGCAGCATGGGCAAGGGAGAGATGCCCTCCCTCCTCCCTCGTCATCTGTGGCAGGTGGGAGAGCAGGCCCTGGGGTCATGAGAGCAGGAGACCTGGCCATGTCCCTCACCTAGGCAGCAGGGTAGAGCAGACCCTGGTTGGGGATTGGGGGGGGGTTGTTGCTGGTGAGCAGGCCAGAGAGCAGGAGAGCTGGCAGGCTGACCAGCTCAGGTACCTCTCAGGCCCAGATCCAGGGCTTTGAATTGGTCCACCCCAACATCTACCCCATCGATGAGCTGCGAGAGTACTCAAAGGGGCTGGTCCTATAGATCCAAAACTGCAGGATCTCCATGACACGGCAACAGCAGGATATCCTAGAGGAGTCCTGGTGAGGAGCCAGTATCAATGGAGTAGAAGCCGAGGCCTCGGGCCAGACCAATGAGTCACTGTAATGAGCATCTGCAAGCAAAGAAGTGTGAACAAAAGGGCATACTGTGGACACACTGTGACACCACAGCTTCCACAAAGAGATTTTTATTTTTTTCTCTGTTTTGGGGGAGGTTGCAGGGATGGAGGGCAGGTACAAGGGGAGGAGATGAGTGGGACTGGGGTGCATGGTGTGAAGTTCATGAAGAAAGAAAAGTTTTTAAAAATGTAAAGAGGCGTTACTGAGATAAACATGATCAAAATACATTACATACGTGGATGAAAAAAAAGCAGGCCAGGTGGTGATGCACACATTTAACCCCAGCACTTGGGAGGCAGAGGCAGGTGGATCTCTGAGTTCAAGGCCAGCCTGGTCTACAGAGTGGACCGCCAGGGCAACACAGAGAAACCCTGTCTCAAACAAACAAAAAAGTAGCTCTTGCTTGCAAAGCTATGGAGAGGACCAGAATTTGGATCTCAGCAGCTACATAAGCTGAGTGTCCTGTGCACGCTTGGCTCCCCACCTCTGAGACAGTGGAGATTGGGGTGGGGGTAAGGATCCGGGGGCTTCCTGGTTTCTGGCTTACCTGAGGCTCAGGGACTGCCTGGAAGTGACAGGTGGAGATTGACAAGAGTACGCCTGGCACCACCACCTGCTTCCATGCCTGAACTGCACCCACGTGTGAATTCACTCACTGGCTTTAAATGAATAAACAAACACCTTTAAAACTACGTAAGTCAAGTTTTAAAAGCGGGGCCAGGAAAGCAATTTGGAAATCATCTGAACTGTTTTCCTCACTACACTACCAGAGATTTAACTGGGCCTCATGAACGCTGGGCAAATGTCACTAAGCTGCCAGCCCACTTTTTTTTATTTTGAGAGAGGCTCTTACTAAGTTGACCTTTTAATCCTCCTGCCTTAGCTTCCTCAGTAGCTGGGATTTCAGCTACCTGCATCACCGTCTCTTTTGAGTATATAAATTAGATTACTTTTCCTTCTGTTGAAATCCTGAATATTGCCGGGTGGGGTGGCGCATGCCTTGAACAAGCACTGGGAGGCACAGGCAGGAGAAACTCTGAGTTGGAGGCCATCCTGGGCTACAAAGCGAGTTCCAGGACAGCCAGGGCTACACAGAGAAACCCTGTCTCAAACAAACAACCTGGATATTCAAAGTAGATTTAAAATTTTTTTTTCATGTCCCAGGAATTGTACTGTAGCACATAACTAATCCCGCAGAGGCAGAGAGCTCTCTGGGGATTCAAAGTCAGCCTGCTCTACACAGTGAGCTCCACGCCAGCCAGTGCAGTAGAGAGACCCTGTCTCAAAAGGTGCTTTGGGCTTAATTTGCAGCAGCTTGAATTTCTATTGAGGGATTCTATCGGAAAGAAACACTCAAAGCTGGAAGATAAGTTCACAAGGCCTGAGGATGCCACTGCATGGGGCCAGATTTCATTACAGACCCTGGGGGCTGCGTTATTTTCTCCGGGTACTTAACAGAAGGCAGCATTGATGAAGACGAGGCCACGAGCGTAGGTCTGAAGAGCAGCTCCTAAAAAGACCCTAAGAGGATGGATGACTGAGGGTACGGCTTCCTAACCCAGGCACATTTGCTCAGTTTCAGCTGTGGAGCTGAAGAGATTGCGAAGTGGTTAAGGGCGCTCACTGCTCTTCCATTGCTTCGGTCCCCAGCACACAGCAGCCTGAAGGCCAGCTCCTAGAGATCCAACACATTCCTCTCCCCCGCGAGCACCCACACGCTATAGTAATGAAAATAAAAGCGGAAAGAAAACCCCCACAGTGTGCAGAAGAACTACTTACCCTTCATCACAGCAGACTGGAGAGCTCTGTTTCGTAAGGTCTGGACTTGCCCTAAACTGGTCTCAGTGTATACCAAGCCCCGGCTGCCTCATGGTTTTGTGTTTGTTTGTTTGTTTAATGGACCCCCTCCACTTAACATGAGCTAATCGGGACTCGATTGTGGAAATAAATAATGATTGGAATCCCATGAAGGCAGAACCAGATTCAGAGTAAGAAGAGCTTCAGAGGCTATTTTAAAACCCTGTCGGGTTAGTGACATGGTCCACTTGGTAGAGGCGTCAGGCACCAAGCCTTACTAATTTAATTAGAGTTTAATTTCTAGAACATGGGACAGAAGAAGAGAACCAGCTCTCATAGATTGTCCCCAGACTTCCAAACATACACCCCCCCACCACCAAGCATACACAATAAATGTTTAAAAAAAAATAATAACAATACAGTTATTAGCCAGGTGTGGTGGCACGAGCCTATTATCGAAGCACTTGGGGAGGCAGAGGCAGGCTGATTTCTGTGAGCTGGATGTCAGCCTGGTCTACAAAGCCAGTCCAGGTCAGCCAAGGCTACACGGAGAAACCACATCTCAAAAAAGAAAAAAGGAAGAAGAAAGTACAGGAAAGGAAAACAAATCAAAGCCAAACAAAACAAAAACCGGTCTGGGATGGGAGGCATGAAGATGACTCAGTGGTTAAGAGCACTCAGTTTTCCCAGAGAACCTGAGTTCAGATCCCAGCACCCACATTGGGGGGCTCACAACCACCTGTAATTCCAGCTTCAGTAGATACGATGTCCTCTCCTGGTCTCTTGGCATCCCTATACACATACAAATACACATATGTACAAAAAACATTTTGTTTGTTTGAGACAGGGTCTTGTTCCTGGCCTCACAAAACAAGTTCCAGAACAGCCAGGGCTACACTGTCTTCAAAACAAAACAAAGTTTTATTGTGTTTTTGTTGTTAGGTGTTTTTGTTTTTCCAAGACAGGATTTCCCTGTGAAGCCCTGACTGTCCTGGAACTCACTCTGTAGACCAGGCTGACCTCGAACTCACAGAGATCCACTTGCCTCTGCCTCCTGAGTGCTGGGATTAAAGGTGTGTTTATGGGATGGATGTTTTGCCTGTATGTATGTCTATACCATGTATGTGTGTCTGTAGACCACTTGAGTACCTGGTGCCGAAAGAGGCCAGAGTAGGTGTTCAGTCCCCTGGAACTGGAGTTACAGATGGTTGTGAGCTGCCATGTGGGTACTGGGAATCAAACACCCGTCCTCTGAAGAGCAGCCAGTGCTCTTAACTGCTGAGCCATCTCTCCAGCCTCTAGACTAGAAATTTTTAATAGCTATAACTGGGTCTGGCAGTTGGATGGTCTTATGTGGTTCTCTGTGAGATCCATATGTGCTTTCAAAATGCTTTAAAATTTCGTAGGTAGGTTTACTGGCAGGTGAGGTTAAAGGCTCCTGCTGCCAAGTCCAATGACCTGAATTCCATCCCACAAAGTGCCAGGAGAGAACCAACTCCTACATATATTTTTCCTGACTTTTGCACGGTGCCCTACCACATGCACGACCCCTTCCGAAACAAAATGAATAAATAAAGCTGTAATAATAAAAAAAAAGACTGTCTTAACTTTCTGTGATAGATTTATTTAAAATATTTTACTCAAAAAAGTTTGCTAAATAGATTTTTCCCCTCAATACTTAAAGAAAACGGCATCTCTGTAATAACAGAAAGGGTAACTGATCCTCCCTCATGCCAACGCAAGCAGGGTCTCCCCAGTAGAGCCACAAAGTGCAGAACGGATACGGTAAGCATGCAAGTTACGTCAGGTGGCTTCTAAGTCAGTCCGAGGAGCCCGTTCACCGGGCACCGCCCACACAGAGGTCCGGGTAAACTACAGGCACGCCAGCTCTGGCAGGGCACGCTCCAGGCTACCTAATGTTGGGCTTTATCTCTTTCTCTTCTTCTTCCTCGCTGTCGTCAACCTGTCGTATGACCAGATCGGCGGACCCGTCCTCCACAATCTCCACGTAGGACCTACTCTCCTCTTCACTCGGATGCCACCGGGAATCCTTTTCTCCACCGGAGGGGGACAGACGACGCGGCTCGGCCTCCAGGTCAACAGGGAGGCTGTCGATCCCCACTTCCACGAGGCACTCCTTGCACAGTCTGTAGCGCCTGGTTCCTTCCTGCACCACTTGCCCCGTGATGTCAGTCACGTGGCGCTTGCACTTCCTGCAGATTAGTTTGCAGGCCTGGTGGATCTGGGGAGAGATTTAAGTAGGTAGGGATGAAAATGAATTTTCCAAAGTGGCTCCGTTTGCTATTTCAGGATGTTCAAAAGCCGCGGGTTTAAACCCAAGTTAACATCCAATGATCAGAAAAGACCCCAGGAGCCGGTGATAACGGCACACCATGGACACACAGACACCAGCTTTCTCTAAACCATGGCTGCAATGGCTTTCTTACCACTGCCACCCACCTAATAATGCCACACATCCATTAACCCAACCGTATTTGACATGGAAGATAGGGAGTGGATTCTGCCCCAGAGTAAAACACCATGTGCTGTGTACTGCTCTAAAGACTTTAGCCAAAGTACTATTATTATCATCATCGTTATTATTATTGAGTATAAAGGGGGCCATGTGCATGCTGCTCTGATCGTACAGAGGACAGAAAACATCAGTTTGGCCACATCAGGTCTCTCCTTCCTCCTTGATGTGGGATCTGGGAATCGAACTTAGGTAGCTGGAGCTCATGAAGCAAGATCCTTTAACTGCTTGCTGAGTCTCGTCAGTGCCCTTTCTCTGAGGACTTTATATAGTTTAACTTACTTAGAGATTAAACACATAAACAGAAAGAAACAAAACTTATTTTATGTATTTTTTAATTTTACTAGAGGAGGAAAAACATAACCAGGAATATAAGTTTATCAATATGTCTACAAAGATTAATAGCTATTTTTGTTGACAAAAGATTGGCTGGGAAGTGGACCACACCGGGAGCGCGAGGGCTTGTGTCCTATTCCTGTCAGTATCTTCGTCATTTATTAACCAGGTATCTCAGGGCAAATTTAAACATGATAAACCTGTTTCAAGGTGTCAGTCAAAATACTGAAGAGATAAGGGGATTGTCCAGACAGACGGGAACCTGACTAGCCTAAATGCACACTGGTTTAAAAAACCAGTGCTGGGGCTGGAGAGATGGCTCAGAGGTTAAGAGTGATGGCTGCTCTTCACTAAAGGGACGGGCTAACTGACACCACGCAGAGACAAGCCAAGTCTGAGGCAGGAGGAGATATTGCAAAGTAAATGGCTTAGTCTCATCAACAATCTAGGGAGAAAGGGAGGTGTGTGTGTGGGGGGAGGGAAATTATGCCAGACCGAAAACACACTTAGGGGATTGAGCAATAAGACGGACTTGACTCTGGCTCAGAAAAAAAACAGCTATAAACAGTATTTGGCAGGAACTGTGGGGAAATAAGAACTGACCTGACCAAATTTTCCTCGGTCGTTCGGTACTTTTGGGAATTGGTTCCCTCCTTCCAGCACATGGTTCTGAGGGCTGGACTCAGGTCCTCAGGCTTAGCAGCCCTTACCTGATGAGACAGCTCGCTGGCACGTCTCTTTATATCTGTTTGCACATATGTGATTTGTTTTTATTTATGTGCACGCGTACGTGTCTCTGTGAGTATATATCACATGAGTGGGTGTCCACAACGACCAGGAGAGGGGGTCAAATCCCTTGAGGTGGAATTACAGATGGTTGTGAGCTGCCTGATCCCCTGTAAGAGTCGTATGCATTCTTTTATTTGGGGTGGGAGTGGGGTTCAGGACAGGGTTTCTCTGTGTAGCCCTGGCTGTTCTGGAACTTGCTCTGTAGCCCAAGCCCAGCTAACGGTATGAACTCTACCAACTGAGCCCCATTTTGTAATTTTTTTTTTCTTTTTTTGAGACAGGGTCTTACACTGTAGTTCGGGTTGGCCTGCACTTACTCTCTAGACCAGGCTGGCCTCCAACTCATGGTGATCCTCCTGCCTCAGCCTCATGAGAACTGGGATTAGTGGCATGAAGTACACCCAGTCCATCATTTTCCTTATTAAACCATGCATGAGGCATTGAGCGTCAAACAGCAAACTCCTTGGCACTCTCCTCATAGTCCCTGACTGGGAGGGCCTAGTGCCCTTCTTATTCCCTTTCCTTGGGGAGACTAGGGAGAAGCTGATACAGACCGGAAAGAAGTGCCCTGGAGCCAGGTCACACTCAGCCCCCAATGGAGGTCTCAGCACGGTTCAGCTATCAGTAGATGATGCCTATCTAGATAAATGGCGATTCTGACCCAACACTGAAAACATTTGTATGAGGTAACCTTGTCTCCCAGCAGAGAAATATATCAAAACTTATGAGATGTGATATGAGCTAGAGTGGAAATATAAAAAGATTTAGCACTGAAAAGTATCTCCTACCTCAGGATCTCAAAGGAGATTAAAATTATATATATATATATGCAGGTGTGATTGGCACATGCCTTTAGTACCAGGGGCAGAGTAAGGTGGACCTCTGTGAGTTCTAGACTAGTGACTGTATTTACATGTTATCTAGTATGTGCCTGTGTGTACATGTGTGTTACCGTGCACATGTGAAGGTCAGAGGGCGACTTTCAAGAATTGGTTCTCTCTCTCCCCTACGTGAGCCACTGGACTGAGCTCAGTTGTCAAGTGTGGTAGAAGTGCCTTTACCAGAACCACAGAATAACAATTGTATGTAACTTTTTGTAAGTCTAAAGCAAAAGTAGTACTTCTGGAATAATTCTTTTTAAAAAAATTCTTTATTATTAGTGTGTGTGTGTGTGTGTGTGTGTGTGTGTACATGCACCACAGCACATGTGTGAAGGTCAGAGTTGTTCCTCTGAGTTCTGGGAATCAAGTTCAGGTCACGAGGTTTAGATCATTTGGTGGCAAGGGCTTTACCCACTGAGCGCCATCTCACCGGGCCAAGAGTTGTTAATATGGTAGAGTTGTGCGAAGAGATTTTCTTCCATGAATTTAGATTTGTGGTCGTATGTGGATAGTAGATGCTGAGCATCTAGATAAAAATGGTGATTCCGACATATGTGTGTGTGAGTGTTCGTATATGTACACACGTGTGAAGGTTGCCATGCAGTGTCTTCCTCTACTGTACTCCTCATTTAAAAAATATTTATCAATTCAATTTTGTGTGTGTGTATGAGCGTTTTGCCTGCATGTATGTGCAGCATGTGTCTATCTGGTAACCACAGCATAAAAAAAAGGGTGTCAGAGGCCCTGTAATTGGAGTTACAGATGATTGTGAGCTGCCATGTGGGTGCTGGGAAGCAAACCTGGGACCTCTGGAAGAGCAGCCAGTGCTCTTGACCACTGAGCCATCTTCTCAGCCCCTCTACCTTTTTCTTTTCTTGTTGTAAAGTCTCTCACTAAACTGGAGCTCAATGGTCAGCAACACTAGCTGACCGGGGAGATCCAAGGAGCCCCCTGTCTGTGCCCCCCAGCGCTGTAATTACACGTGCAGGGCCCCCCCACCCGGATTGTTATTGTTTTTTAGGGTGGGTGCTTGGGGTCCACACTCAAGCTCTCATTTTTTGTGCGGCAAGCACTCTAGTGAGCGAGCCACCTTCCCATCCCAAGTATAGATCATTAAAGCAGTTAAGATGCACGGCTGGGCATGAGGCAGCTTGCCCAGCCTGCATGATGCAGTGTTCAATCTTCCAGTGCCAGAAGGCAAAAAAACGGGGGGGGGAGGAGGGGATGAGGGAAGGAGAGAGAGAGCAGATAAAGGCACATATTTCACAAGAAGCGAGAGGACAAAAGTTTGTATACATACTGTTCGGAAATGGCTACTCAGATGGTCCAGCCTGCTAAACCGTTTCCCACAGGCTTGGCACGGGTAGGGCCTTTCTCCCGTGTGGCAGCGCAGGTGGCGCTTGAGGTCTGCCTTCCGCTTCACCACATGTGTGCAGTATGGGCATTTGAATCGCAGCCTGGGAAGATCATCTGTCGTGAGACAGTTGGGTTAAATCACTGCAGAGATCGCAAGCAAGGATTCTGTTGGCGTAAGGAATCCAGTCTCGTGAAGGTGGAGGACAAATGACTTGAATTAGCCACACTGTCAAGTCATCCTGGGCACAGAAGCACAGCTTGAGTGCAAGGAGCGGGTAGCTTTAGACTTTCAGACTAGATTTTTTTTAAGGACTTATTTATTTTTTTTATTTTATGTGCACTGGCATTTTGCTGGCCATGTCTGTGACTGTGCCAGATCTCCAGGAACTGGAGCTACAAGCAGTTGTGAGCTGCCATGTGGGTGCTGGGAATTGAACCCAGGTCCTCTGGAAGAGCAGCCACTGCTCTTAACCTCTGAGCCGTCTCACCAGCCCCTAGATTTTAAATTTAAAAAGATATTATGAGAGTATAAAACTATACACAGAAGCCAAAAATAAAACAATTAATTTTTGTTTGGTTGGTTTTTTTTTTGAGACAGGGTTTCTCTGTGTAGCCCTGGCTGGCCTAGACTCAATTTGTAGACCAGGCTGGCCTTGAACTCACAGAGATCCATCTGCCTCTGCCTCATAAATGCTGGGATTAAAGACCACAATGCCCAACTTAAGCAATTCATTTGTTTCTAAATTTTATTTACTTTGGTGTTCTGCCTTCATAGATATCTGTGTGAGGGTGTCAGATCTCCTATAACGGTAATGATAGTTGTGAGCTGCCATGTGGGTGCTGGGAATTGAACTCAGGACCTCTGGAAGAGCAAGCAGTGCTCTTAACCTCTGAGCCATCTCTCCAGCCCCTCTCCAGCCCCCTTAAAAGATATTGTTAAAGATTATATTTATTTACATATTTTGTTTGTGGTACGTGTATGTTCCGTGTTGGTACACACGTGTGCCACACTGAGAGTGTAGAAGTCAGGAAAACTTACAGCACCCATCTGGTTCTCTCCTTCCACCATGCCGTCCCAGGCTTTGAATTCAGGTCGTCAGGCTTGGTGGCCAGGGCCTTTACCTGCTGATTCCTCTCGCCAACTGCTTGTTTTGTTCTTCAGGCCAGGGTCTGGCTGGCCCAGCACCCAGCGTGAGCACCCTGCCTCCCCCTTAGTGCTGGATCACAGGTACGTGCTACCACGCCTCGGTGTAAAAGAACTTACTTCCATCCCAGGCAGATCTTCTAGAGCCTTGCCCGATTTCTATATACACTTGCTAATGTTTCTGTGGTGGTGGTGGTGGTGGTGGGGATAGAATCCAGAGCTAAGTCGTGCAAAACTGTGTCGCCACCACAAGGCACCCTCAGGCCATTTTTTTCTTTTGCTTCTTTTCAAATGGATGTGTGTGTGTGTGTGTGCGCGCGTGTGCGTGTAATACATGTGTATATGTGTGTGTATGTTCGGAGTACTCTATTAAATATACTCAGCATTATAGTTTGAATTAAACATTTTAAATTCATGTTCTATGAAATAAATATGAGTTAAAAAAAAATGTAAGGGGCCGGAGAGATGGCTCAGCAGTCTGAGAGCAACTGCTGCTCTCCTGGGCGGGGGGCCTCAGTACACTTCCCAGCCCCCATTTGCTCACAACCATCTGTAATTCCAGGTCCAGGATAGCCAATACATTTCTCTGGCCTCTCTGGGTATCACCTATACATGCTCAAACACACACATACACACACACACACACACACACACACACACACACACACACACGTAGAAATAAATCTCCTTTTAGAAGTCACTTGGTTTAACTGCCGTGGCATCTAAAATTGAGGGCACTTGGGACACGGGAGGGTCTCGGGCTCTTTTGTGGTACCTGGAAAGACCCCGGATGTGGCGTCGGAGCCCTGGCCGTACTGGAAGGCGGCGGCGGCGTCCACCTCAGCCTCGACCTGTGCTTGCTCTTCACGCGGGGAAACACGGCTGGCGGGGTCGGGCGTCCGCGCGTCTCCTTTGCGGGACCTGAGAGGAACAAGCTGAGGCTGCGCCAGCCTCAGATGCCTGGGCTTCTTCACCGAGTCCTTCCTTTGCTCGGGCTGCGCCGGGGGCTGGTGGGAGGCCGGGTGGTAGGCGTACTTGCTCCACGCCTTCCCGCTCGCTGTGCTCGGTCCCCGGTCTGGGCTGGGCTGAGGACGGGGAGACCCGCTGCAAAAAGAGGCGCCCTCCACCCCGTTGGGGCCGGCGTCCTTGTCTGAGAGGCTGAAGTAGCGGTCCTTTTCCTTCTCGCTGATGTCCAAGGAGGACTTGATGAAAGTCTTACACACGCTGATGACGTCGGTCATCTGGAGGAAGCTGGCGGCCGACATCACTTCTATCACGTTCTGGCCGGTCAGGGAGAGCTTGCCCGAGTAGACGAAGTCCAGGATGACGGTGAAGGTGTCCGGGGAGAAGGCCTGGAAGGTGGCGGTGGTGGGCGGGCTGGTCTCCTTGGAGTGGTGAGAGAGCAGCATTTTGAAGTAGCCGCTGCTGGCGAACAGCACGTTGCGGTGCGCTTTGAAGACCTTCCCCTCCACGAGGATGCTGCAGTCGCAGAACACGTCCTGCCGGCGCTGCTCGTTCAGCTGCTGCAGGAGGTGAGCCTGGTGGGAGGAGATCTCCATCCTGCGGGGCAGAGGCAAGGGACCGAGAACCAAGCCCAGGGTCAGTCGGCCAAGGCAGGAACCAGAGGGCTCGGCTCCCCATCTAAACTCTAACTAGGAAACACAGTGCCCAGGGCCCCGAAGATGGCAGGTGTCCCTGCTGCCCAGAAGGCCGAGGCAGGGGGATCACAGGCCCAAGGCCTGCTGGAGCTACTGAGAGGGCTCAAGGCCAGCCTGGAAAACTCGCAAGACTGTCTCAAAATAAAAAGCAGAGAAAAGGCTAGGGGTATAGTGACATGGCAAAGTACCTGCCTTGGCTTATGGGGAAAGGCCCCGTATTGATCTCCGGCATTGCAAAAAAAAAAAAAAAAAAAAACCAAGCCAAACAAACAAAACTGGCAGGAGAGAGTTCCAGGCTACCCCGGGCTACACAGCATGACCACGTCTCCAAAGGACAAACACAAGAAAACACCAGGGCCAAGAACTAGGCAGTCCCACTTTACAAGTTTAGAAACGCAGGTTTAACAACTGCTTCCGCCAGAAAAAAATGCTGCGTATTTCCCTGTCGGTGACGAAGGAATAAAATTACGAAAAAGTCAGAGAAGAGGACAAAAGACCAGAAGGTTTGACTTGAAAGACGACGGACGGTGGAGAGTCCAGGCTGGTCCCTGAGGAGCGCCGGCAGATGCTCATTAGCATCATGGTCTCAGTTTCTCTTAGCAGGGACTTTGCTTTCCATCAGGACCACCTGCCCAGGGACTAGCACTGCCCACAATAGGTTGGGCCCTTCTACATCAAGCATTAATCAAGAAAATGTCCCACAGACACGCTTATAGGCCAGCCTAATGATAGCAGTTCCTCAAAAGAGGATCGCAACTATTTGTAACTCCAGTTCCGGAGACTCTGATGCCTCCTTCTGGCCATCTCGAGTACTGCATGCACATGGTGAACGGCACATACATTCTGCAAACCCTTGGATACACAGACAATTAAAACAGCTTTTTCTTTCTTTTTCTCCGTGTCCTGGCTGTCCTGGAGCTTGCTCTGTAGACCAGGTTGGCTTCAAACTCAGAGATCTGCCTGCCTCTGCCTCCCGAGTGCTGGGATTGAAGCCGTGCACCACCACTGTCCAGCTTACATAAAATGAATATTAAAATAAACATATTTAAAGCTAATTTTCCATCAGGGAGATTTTTGTTTGTTTGTCTAAGTTTCAGGGAAAATTGCTCTCCAGGCAGTTTGTTAAGTTGAAAGTGGGTATCTGTGTTGGTAAGAGTTGCCACTGGTGTGCAAGCTATATAGACATACAAGCTATGTACCGGGAAGCAGGAGGATACTTAGCATTAAAAGTAAAGTGGGAAATCATCTTCTTGGGCACGCACCTTTAATCTGGGGTTTAAGCACTGGGGAAGGCAGAAGCAGGTGAATCTCTGTGAGTTAAAGACCAGTTTGGTCCTCAAAGTCCAGGACAGCCAACGCTATACGGAGAAACCCTGTCTCCAAAAACAACAACAACAACAAAAAGAGTTTCAAGAGAGAATTAATAGTGAGTTGATGGGTTGCACACTCTCATACGTCCCTGCAATAAATTATCTGTCTGGAATATACAGAACGGCTTCTGTTTCCTGCATAGGATTGTTAGTATATCATCTTGGTTCCAGGAAATAAACCCTCCGTAATAGAATCTGGGGGTTCACTTGCCAACTGTTTGAGCTGAAATAGACCTATGACTTCGGTGCCAATGAAAAAGTGGAATATGGAGATGAGTGCCACGTGGTGGCACGGTGGCTGCTGAGCTCGTACCTGCCTCTGCATCCTGAAGGCCAGGCTGTTCCCCCCAGCAGCCATGAGGCAACGATGGGGATTCCGGGCGGGGAAAGGACAGGCTCCAGGCCTCTTTAGACTCTTAGCCCGACCTACTGGAGAAGTAATGCTCACCCTAAGGGATTTTCCTCATACAGCCAGAGGTGGAGACTTGGGGGTGGGGGGTGGGGAGAAGGGGAGCACGACAGGGAAGACCAGATAACCAAGCATGCATGGATCGCAAAATGACAAAGGAAGTTATTTCACACCTTGACCAAATAAATGTCCTCTGTAACAAGCATCAATTTGTTGTGAAGGAGAAGGACCTGGGAACTTGAAATGAGAACTCCGGAACAGATTCAGATCATCCGAGAACCTTGTACCTCTCAAGTCCCTTGAGTTCCCCACATACCGGGAAAGTAGCACCTCATTCCTCCTCTTCCATTCCCCTCCTATGGTCCAGAGAGCTCAGGTGGGCCTCAATTTCAGGACCCTTCGGCCTCATCCTCCCAAGCGCTAGGCTATAGGGAGGTGGCACAATGTCTAGTTCTTCTCTTTTTCTCAGATACAGGGATGCGGTGATTTGAGTAAGTATGGCCCCCTTAGGCCCATATATTTGGATGTTTAGTCATCAGGGACTATTTGAAAAGAATTAGAAAGATTAGGAGGTGTGGCCTTGTTGAAGGAAGTGTGTCACTGGGGGGTTTGGAGGACTGGGTCATAAGGTTTCAAAAGCCCACACGGGGCCCTTGTCTGTCTGTCTCTCTGTCTGTCTCTGCTTGCAGATCAGGACATAGCTCTCAACTACTTCTCCAGCACCGTGCTCCCCACCACAAAGATAATGGACTAGACCCCTAAAACTGAAAAGTCCTTAATTAAATTTCTCTTATAAGAGTTGCCTTGGTTGTGGCGTCTCTTCACAGCAATAGAACCGTGACTAAGACAAAAGTTGATACCAGGGGGCGGGTGCTGCCGTGACAGTCCTGACCATGCTGCTTGCTGGCACATTGTGGACTTTGGATTAAAGCAGCTGAAGGCTTTAAGCGGGATTTAATGGGCCGCACCAGTGGGAGCATGGAAGACAGCGGTGCCCAGAGCGATGTAAATCATAGTGGCCAGCTCAAGATGTTTCAGGGGGGAAGAATATTAGTAAGTGGCTCAGCCACCACTTTTGTGACACTTTGGCAGAGAATTTAACTATTTTTTTTTTTTGCCCTTGTCCTAAAAATCTGCCTGAGGCTAAACTGAAGAGTTTTGGATTACAGGAGTTGGTAGAAATTTCAAGACAGCCTAGCACTGACTTTGTCGTGAGGTTGTTGTTGTGTGGTAGTTGTCCTATGAGAATCACTTATTTTATTATTATTATTTTTTCAAGACAGGGTTTCTCTGTGCAGCCTTGGTTGTCCTGGACTCGCTTTGTAGACCAGGCTGGCCTGGAACTCATGTCGATCCACCTACCTCTGCCTCCTTCCAGTGCTGGGATTAAAGGCATGCACCACCACGCCATGCTTGATAAACATTCTTATGCAGATCTACAGTGAGAAAGAGCAAGCTGGACAAAGAGAAATACAAAATGTACGGTGTGCACAGGAAAGGAGCACCAGGAAGCAGACTGGAGATAAGTCCAGGGTTCAAGGAAATAAAAAGTGTCAAGAAAAGCCTGTTGCTAAGTGGAAAAAAGGAGTTGTGGACTTCAGGGTGAGCCCTCACCCGGCTAAGGTTCCAACCTGTGAACAGGAATTAAAGGAAACCTTAAACAGCAGAGGAAGCCATAGACAACAGAAAGCTGGAGAAGGGGGCCAAGTTCCAGCCCCAGCAAGCAACAGAGCTCGGCAGCTTCACCACATGGTTCTGGCTTTAGAGTCAAGGATTTAAGAAAGGGGTTGTGGAGTCAGGGCTGCTGAGGTCAGGCGTGTGTCAAGGTGTGTCCCTGTACGGAGGCTCAGAGAGGCCACGGAATGAAGGTGCGAAGGCGAAGCTGGGATTGCCTTGGAGATCCCAAAATGTTGGAGATGCCAGAGCCGTGGGAGACCTGCCAAAGAGAGCTGTGGATGAGGTGTGGAACCAGCCCAAGAGTCAACAAAGCTGAAAGGAGTTGGAGGTCTGAAGAGCGCTTTGACATCAGACAGAGGGGTGCAGAATTTGGAGTTTAACCCAGCTGGATTCCAGACTAGCTCTGGTCCAGAATTTCCTCACTATGCTCCCTGTTCTCCCTTTCGGAACGGTAATGCGTTTATATTCTGTGCAGCTGTATGTCGGAAGTTTGTGATTTGCCTTTTGCTTTTACGTGAGGTTACAGTTAGGAGATTGCCTTGAGTCTCAGAAGACTTTGGAGTTTGAAATAGTGTTGAAACAAGAAAAGGACTTTTGAAGTTGGATTGAATGCATTTTGCATTCTGATATGGCAACAAGCCTTTGGGGGCCGGGGAGCGGAACGTGGTGGTTTCTGTAAGAACGGGCCCCATAGGCTAAGATAAGGGGTGGCTGCCATTCCCAACTTGCCTTTAAACAGCTTGTGGTTCCTGGCCTGAGACACTCATCCGTACTCCCCTCACCACTCCAGCACCAATGGACCATATTCAGGGCCACAGAACCTTTTCCAAGGGGATAAATCCTACTCCAGCACAGGAGGAAACAAAGAGAGTGTCAGATTTCACTAAATGCCCTTGGCTTAAACCTAGAAATATTTTTGGTAACGACCTCTAAGGGATACACTGTTTAAATAGGATGAATTCATTGCCCCAGAGGCAGTTGCCAGATCCTGGACATAAAGTGTTAGGCCTGAGCACCTCGGAGCAAAATGTGTTTCTCTGCCTGACTGCAACTTGGACTCAGGAGTAAATTATTTCCAAATAAGTTAAAATGCCAGAATGTCTGACAGAATGTGGAAGAAACCCAAATGAGTTAGCTGCCATTATGACTCCATCAGAGAAGATACCCTGAAAAACTGCGTGTTAGCCAACAGGATACGGTGTGCACTAAAAGCCCTGGAAAGAGGGGGGGGGAGAGAATTGAGCAATATATGACCTCATCTTTTTTTCCAAAACTGTGACTCTCAGGTCTTGAAGTCACAGGCAGGGGCTACAGCTCAGCGGTGGAGTCCTCGGCCACCATGCCCTGTGGTCTGCCTCCAACACCGAATACAGAAGAAGAAGGAAGGGAGGAAGGGAGAGGTGGAAGGAGGGAAAGTCATGCAGCATGACATGCCTGTAATCCCAG